CCACCACCCATCATCATTTAAAATTGTGTGCATTTCATACTTTTTACCCCATTTCTAAATAACCTACAAATTAACAAAGTCAAAAAAAGAAATTCCGTTTAAGCCTATATATAATTATTATAAGTACAGTACTAAAATATATAATTACATTGAATATAAGGATTATACAACTGCTACCTAAACTACAAACATGGTCTTACCAAATTAAAAAAGATCAAATAGAAATAACATCAATAGATCTGGTTTTTAATTCAATTATTCCTCATGACCTGGTGATTACTATAAGTTGACTTGCAGAGTAGATACTGTAGGTCTGGTTTAATCAGGTTTAATTTACAGGTGGTCGTAGTGGCCAAGTTGACTCACAAACTGGATAGATCTGGTTCAATAAGATTTAATTACATGCGGTTGTAGTGGCCAGGTTTGACTTGTAGACTGGATGGATCTGGTTCAATCAGGTTTAATTATTAATACGGTTGTACTGGCCAAGTTGACTTGCAAACTGGATAGATCTGGTTCAATCAGGTTTAATTACATGCGGTTGTAGTGGCTAATTTGATACTTGCAGACTGGACAGGTGTGGGTACAATCCATGCAACCATCAACACAAAAAGGAATGAGACAACATCCCATCCACCCTCTATAGAAAACCAAAAAGAAATTGATTAATTAGAGTAAGCGTCATAGGGACCAATACAGTGCTGCTGCTGTTGTGAGCATCTACTAACAACAGAAACAGAAACTACAGCAACAGCAACTACTATACCCTGGAATTGGAAGACAAGCATCTTAAGGCTAGACATTTTATTTCCTTGTTTGTGAACCCTCCGATCACAAATAATGATGATTTTGAATGAAAATAAACTTTTTCGCCAATTAGCATACCCACCGCCACAGAAAAATGAAAATTTCAGAAAAAAATTAAAATTTTTATTTCTTTTTATTACGCCCTCCGCTGCCTTGATAAGATATATTTCTTTCTAGTTATATAAATTTAAAGCATTTAACCATCCCATTACTAGACTGTTTACATTCACCAATACAATTTTATTTTAATTTTCTTCTCTGTCTGGATGTTTTTGGCAAAACTATTTGCTAAATAAAAAAGCAAAACTTTATTTTTTTTCTGCCCTCCTCTGATGATCATTAAACAAAATAAGTTTGCTAACAAGGAATGAAAAAGTCTCCCTAATGACCTAGCTACAACTCCACTTCTGTGATACTGCCATACAGTAATGATTTCCTAATGCTCCAAAAGATACCAGCCCCAAAAATTTAGATTATTCAAGAAATACTAGGCCCAGGCCCCTGCATATCAACGGCCTGTTAAGGTACGCATAAAAGTCTTTGATCTGTGAACTGCGAGTGGTACACGCTGTGAATTCTGAGCTGGCTCAATTCTCAAAGCCCAAAATGCACAGAGAATGCTGGAATATATACACTTTTTTGAGCAATTGTATTGCCTTTTCCTGGCTATTTATTTTCTCATGTTCACAGCTTTTAACTATAAAATTACCTTTCCTATACTTTCACACTGATAATGCTGTAAGTTATACCCGCCACTATACATCACGCGACCACTACGGTTCCCGGTCACGGAATCCGTCTATTACCACCATCAACATCTTAATCATTAAACTTGTCCCTTACTTTTTTTTTTCTCATTCTGGAGAGTCACCACCGACTAGTAAGTTAATTTGGAGATGAAAAAATATGAAAACATATAGGATGCCAATTAAATTTGCTATGGTGCGCAGTAAGTGCAATAAAAAGTGGGTAACCAAAATTATGGCCTGGAACCCAGGCTACTTAATCATATACAACATAGTTCTATTGTAATACTGACTCATGCAATTCACACACCATTATTACTCAATTAATATTCGCCAAATAGAGGGACTAGTATTGAACCAGACACTCACCCAAAAAAGGCAATGATGAGACACAGAATCCAAGCAAATGCTCCAGGTTCCTTCCTGACCACTGTAGTCACATTATTCTGACAGTTGGGACAAGTGGTCTGGACAGGGAAATCCCTATATATCTGATGGACCACAGTTGTCACGTGAGTGGTGGGCTGCCCAACAATAACAGTGGTTGGCGGAGCTGGATATCCTGCTGTGTATTGTGGTTGTTGTGGGTAGCCTGCTGCTGGTGGTTGTTGGTAGCCTGCAGGTGGTGGCTGTGCTTGGTAGCCCGGCTGCTGTGGTGGGTAGCCTGGCTGTTGTGCTTGGTAGCCCGGCTGCTGTGGTGGGTAGCCAGCCGCCTGAGAAGGGTAGGCAGGATCTGAAAAAAATTTAGCATAGTATTTTGAATAAAACTTCATTGTCAATTGTTAAAATTCATTGTCTGATTTGATTTGATTTGATTTTGAAATGATGCCTCGATATTTCAATACATGTATTGTATGCTGTATAAAATATGTTGAATGATATAAAATAAAAGCAGAAGAATGTTGATATGTACTGTATTGTGCAACTAACTGATGTTAGTTGATATAAAAAATGAATGTTTATTAATACAATGCGGTAGAATATTTCATGAGGTATGTTGATATCTATCGTGGAACTAAATTTATACAAGACAAACTTAATGAGACCATTATTGCAAACTCATGACAGTCAACTATTATGAAGTTGAAAGTTCCTTTTGCAAAAATTGAAAGTTGAGTTTCAGTGCGACCAGGACAATGGAATGCTTAACATTTACTGGACATGAAAGTATAATACATACTCCAAGTATCATCAGGACCTGATGATGACATAATTAATGTCGAAATATTGAATCCCAACACGATGGCATGTATTTCAATACTTGGAGTATGCATTATACTTTCTTATCTGAGATTAATCAGTGGACCTTTTGGTTTACTGGACATGTTGATTTGAGAACTGTGATTTCTCTAAACATATTCAAATAAAAATTGTATGAGGCACTAAGTACAACCGCTTACGACCATATGTGCATAAAATGAAAGTTTCCAATATCAATCAGTTTTTAAACTGTTTGGGCTACCCTGGGTAAATAAATGTACAGTAATAATAATAATAAATAATAACAATAATAACTCAAACTGTGAATTGACAGACAAATAATGAATGTTCATTAGTAAAAAGAGGTAGAATATTTCATGAGGAAAAGATTGGATGTTCTACGCAACAAGTCGTAGTCGAGTACAGACTATCATTTTTCGCTCAAGAGTGCAAACGGGCCAGTACTAAAAACTTGCACCAGTTTACTGGAAGCGATGTCTGTTGTAAGTATCAGCATCCATTCGTGGGGTCATGTGCAGAGTTTAGTTAATTTTCATTCTCATGTTGCACTTTTGAATCCCAAGTGACCTGTTTCAACCAATCAAATTTACAGAATATACAGTGTTAGGCTAGGCTAACGAAATATGTTACCTTGGCCTTTGGTTTCTGTTCCAGGTGCTTCAACTGCCTGGTTATAGCTTGGAGGATTCGCAGGATAAGACATCTTTCTATAAAGCATTGGAATAAAAGAATATTGAATAGAAGTTTTACAAAAAAAAATTAAAAATGGAATTATACGAGAAATCTTGCTTATGACATGCTCCCGTATCTGTAATGTTCTACAGCAGGGTTGGGCATAAAAATCGGTCGGATGGCCAAAGTTAATTTTTGATTTAACACTGAGGGCCGCACCCAAACTTTGATGTTTCTAGTAAGCTTCTAAAAACCTCCAAGCACTGCTTTTACATCATCACTTTATTAAAAAATAAATAGAATTTGGTATGTATGCATGTACGTATGTATGCATGTATGTATGTATGTATGCATGTATGTATGTATGTATGCATGTATGTATGCATGTATGTTCTTCTTTTTGTTGCATCTTTATAATTATACTTATTCTGCTTCTACATGAAATATAGATTGGATTTATTCGGTGTTAATAACAAGGATAGTTTTAGGATAGCCTAGAAGAAGACTTATTTCCCCCAAAAAGAAGGAAAACAACAATTCGTTGGGGAGGAAAAAAAATTATATATGTAATTTTATTAGTAGTCTATCTATCTATAAAATCGATTACTGTAAATAAACGTCTGAAACCCCTAAATTGTCATATTTTTCGGGTGGTGGGGGGCTATATTTCGTAAGGGTGGCGTCACTGGGAGTATGGGGGAAAGGCTCCCCATCGAGAAGAGCTGGCTCTTCTGTCGGGGACAAAAACCAAAATTCGTAACTGCAAGAAAATCGCTACAAGTACTGTAACAACTAAATTCATCCAATATCAGTTTCCTCAGTCAGGTATTTACGTAGGCATAATGCCACTACCAATATACTTTTTCGAAAACCTTATTCTAAAGCAATTGAAATATAGTTTCAGTTCAACAAACTACACCCCCACCCCCTCCCCCATTCCCGGTTAAAGCCATCCATTGCTACTCATTCAGCCTGTAAGTATTATCAGGGAACTTAAACATATTAAGTTATTCAATTGGTTGTTGCTTCCAAATTGATATAGCCATGATGATCTAGCATCATGTGAAATTGGGACCCTGTTCAAATTGTAATACACCTCCTTCGATGGTTACATATTCAGAATACGTACTGGCATATTGTAATACACACTCCTGTGATGTACAGTCACACGTTTCATTAACATACCTGAGTCCTACATCGCCAACGAACTGTGCGGTATTCAAAATTTTTGATATGGTGACCCTATAATTCAGCCATGCTACAGTACTTTTACTGTACCTCGGTGACCAAGCCTTCCATCATTCTCAATTTTTTTGCTATTGGAATCCATTTTTATTTCAATTAAAATGTAAAAGTGATTATATCAGAATCAGAATTGGATGAGCCACTGTCAATAAAACAATTCCCGGCAGAGATGTATTCAATATCTGGACTATTAATATGGGACTAGTCAAATGGCTGACGCCATTTGTCATTGACAACAGATTCATTAAATGTGCATTATTTATGTACAATTCTTATCTTACACTAAAGAACAATCTTTACACTCGCATTTGCATCTGAAAAAAATTACCAACAATGACGGTCGGAGTGATAGTGTTCCACATCTACAGTAAATATTTTTCAGCCTGACTGTTCTCTGTTTGAATAGTGATCGTATTTGTATATACAGGCTTGGTCAACATTTAAAAATTCAGAGTTGTTTGTCCATAGATCAATCTTGGGAGCGTTATGCTGTACGATTTTAAAACATTTTTATCATAATGAAATAGCTATAATATATTGAAAACAAAAAACTTGAAACAAAATCGGTGTGTGAATTCAAATATTTACAATGGATTGTATTAAAGGGTCCTTTTTTTACGAGCAATTTTTACATGCATTTGTGAGTGACAGTGGGTAAACAAACTTTCGCGGTTAGCTGTATCATAATGTATCTTTGAATGTCATTTTAGACTGATTTATTCACATACTTGGTCATCTTCTATCACTTATGGATAACACTTAGATTCATGAAATGTTAAAAAAAGCACAATATATTTTCATTGTAATGTACTGTACAGTAGCTACTATAATATACAGTACTTAAAAACAAAATGCTCTTCGTAACAAAAGTGGTGTATGTAAAACAGATTGGCTTCCACTTGTCGTTTGATCTCGAAGTTTACCGAGTGATTGTTGGAGATATCTTAATTTTAACAGTTTAATGTGGTCCGTATCTCTGCATAAACTTCTAGACTTCGTAACAAATTCCATTACTACAGTAGCCATAGACCCGGTTTCGTACACACTTGCTGAAGCAAATTTCAAACAAAGGAAGCTGTTTTTGCAATTTTTCTTAAAATGGTTAAATATTTTCATGCAATACTGTACTGTAGGCCCCTAGTATAGAATTGACATGGATCAAGTAGACACCAGTCTGTAAGACTGAGTATGTCCTTTAAATCTTTGTAGGCCTATAGGCCTAAAGTGTGTGAAGTACTGACTTGGTTAATATTGAATGGGTGAAATTGCGCACAAACGTCACACTCTTGGTCTATAAATAACATACAACGCAGGAAGAAAGGATATCACTTTTATTGTCTGTGTCTATTCTTAGTCTGTGGAAATGGATTTGCCACAGACTCACCTAGTAGGCCTACTAACAGTATTGAAATACTGTACAATTTTTTTTATAAATTGTGGGCCAGTGGCGTTAACGCCTGTGAGCCTTCGGAGGGTGCATGGCCCGGGCCCCACTGAAAATGGGCCCTCATCCTACTACCTAGTACTACTACCGATCCTTAATTTTCTGGGCCCAGTTTCAGTCTAAATGGGCACCGGACAGGTTAGGGGTCCCCTCCACCTAGTACTATTCTACTCTTTGACTGTAACGTTTTCTATAACCTTAAAAAAACCAAGAGGCCTACAGTAGATGAAAATCCCACGCTCTCTGGCCGATTATTTATAAGAAGCCCCTCCTACAGGGAAAACATCCATTTCCAAGTCCAAATGATTGACATTTTGTTTAGTAAATAATTTATTTGCCATTAAAGTAGAAAGATATTAAAGCCCCATTCCCGGCAAAATTTCAATTTTTAAGAAAAATCTAATTTTTGTATAATGTTATAAAGATTTATAAATATAATACGGAATTGCTAGTTTAACTGAATTTAGACATTCCTAAGAATGAAAAA